TTTTTTTTTTTGGATCAAAATTTGAATAGGGCTCGTGATTAGTGAATCTACACTTTGATATGATCCGTCTTAGATTTAAAATTGAATCTGTTTACTGAAAATTTAACACATAAGTGATCAGTCTAAGGTCAGAAGTTAAAGGCTTGTGATCATGCTATGTGGGTTTGTTGTCCTGTAGTTGGTGCAGAGAAGAAAGAGCCACCTTATTTCTTTGTGAAGTTTTCTTTTTTTCTTTTTCTTTTTGTTTGTTTGATTGATGGATAGTTGTGTTTTTCTCGTGTTCATTTCGGATGTTTCTTGCGGAAAATGTGAACGCGTTTTATGTTTTCTCAGCCATGTTTGTACGAGGGAACCGATTTTTCAAGCAGTCTAGGAACACAAGAAGTGCTCAATTCCCAGTTCTGTTTACATTTCTGATTCTGGTTGTGTTTGCACTGGTTCTTCTATTCGGGAAAAATGGCGATAAATCCACTTTTGTGGCCGATCCTTTGAACCAAAAATGGGATAGCTACGACTCCATTGTCCGATTAAATCCAAAGGTAGAACTCAGGAATGGGACTGATTTGGTGTCGCAAATACCTGATTCGCCTAAGGCCGTTCTCTTCTTGGCTCATGGCTGTAGTGGTAAAGCCGTTAACTTCTGGGACAAATCCCCCAGTTGCCCGAACTGTGTCGGTTTACCTGAAGAAAGGCTTATCGTTCTTCATGCACTGGCCAGAAAATTCGCTGTGCTTGCTGTGTCGAGTAAAGAAATATGCTGGTCGCTTGGTGATGAAAGGTTGATCGTTAAGGATATAATCAGGTGGTGGACTGCAAAACAAAAGCTCGAAAAACTGCCTTTATTTGCATTGGGTGCATCCTCTGGTGGATACTTCGTGTCCGTTCTTGCTACGGAGATGAAGTTCAAAAGTATTGCTTTAATGATTGCTGAAGGGGTTTACAGTCATTTGGAGATAACAAAAGATTACCCCTCCACACTTTTTGTGCACATGCCGAAAGATGGAACTAGAAAATGGAAGATAGAAAAGTATTTAGCAGTGATGAGAGAAAAAGGGATTGATGTTGCTGAAGTTAAGTGCTCGGAATTCCCCTTGATGCCCCATTTCTTCGCTAACAGAATTCCAGGTGTCGATTTCGCCTTGTCCGAGAAGTTGTTTGGTGTTTTTAAGGAAAAAGGGTTTCTTGACGAGAACGGCTACCTGAGAGATGATGGGCGTGCGATACCGTGGCGAACGGCCATTGAGGAGAGAAATATTCTTCTTCCGGATAAATCTCTGGTCAATCATATTCAAGAGGAAATGAATCTTGCTTTTGCATATCATGAGATGACGAGCGTGCCATCTGAGCATATCTTTTACTGGTTTGAGTCTCATATGAACTGACGAGAAGTTTGACTGTTTAGAATTTTTTCCATTTCCTCTTCATTTGAAGAAGATTTCGATTTCGATGAACTGAAAACACAAAGCCTCGAATATGGAATAGTTAACTGTGGAGAGCAGAAGTGCAGCTAGTTCACGAATGAAGTATGTAGAATTGTGTTTGATAAATTGAAATGGTCTTTATATAGACTGGCCTTCCCTCGAGACAAGACTCTTCTATCTGACCCTCTTGTTTACTACAGTTGGGGAAGTAACTAAAATTTATTGATCAACACACCTGTTTGGCCTGAAAATTAGCAACTCTTTCAATTGGTGCTATTTGTTCCCCGGTGTTTATGTTTTTCAGTTGAATTGTAAACTGCATTTTCTGTATCTACGAGCCACTCTTTGTTCTTTGGACCACGGCATGATGGTAGTTGGAGTAGCCAGGTGTATGTTTATGCATTATTTACTTCAAAAGTTGTTATGAAGGTTACAACATTGCTAAGTATTTTGAATTGATTTGTCTTAGCTGTGACTTTATTTAACAACAATTTTAGAATATCCACTCCCTAGTTCGACTTTATGCATTAATAATGATATATGTTTGAGATACCTATTTCATTTGAGTCGAAATATCGAACATACTAGTTCATTTCCAGTTTTCTAGTGTAAGAAGTGCCCTTAGAAAAACTGCCACGCTCGGATATTGTATATCAGAAATGATATTTGCTAATTAGATTAGGAAATACAAATTATTTGATGTTTAGGAAAAATTAAGGTGTTATTATTGACTCACTTGTCATTTGACTCCTTACTCTTTCTGGTGAGAATTGTGGGAAGAAAATGAAAACCAATATGGAGAATTTGATTGAATTTAAGATGATTTTTTTTTATATTGAGTAACTTATTTAGTGGTTGGTTTTGTAAATTAGCGATTTAAGTATTCATAACGTTATTTTAGTTTAAATAAAAAAAAAATTGACACGATTGATGATCGGAAATGTGAAGATGAGTGAGTAGCGTATCGATAATTTCCCAAGCAATTGCATATCGTGGATAAAGTGATCTTGAGGGGAAATCACTCAAAATCTCCTGACAATCCAGCTTGGTCTCACTTTCTTTCGATGTTTCACTTTTCACATCCATGAAGACGATTGTGCCGTTGGCCTATGGACTCTTAAATTTTGAGTTGAGCATTCATAAATTCACAATTCTTTGTTATTTTGAGGGTTTCTCCACTAGCTTTTGTTAGATGCATGCATTTCATATTTATTTCATTTATCGTCTGGGCGAGGGGATGGTGGATGAAGTATGTTTAATAATGAGTATGGGACATAGTTTTGTGATCACTATGTAGTTTGGTGCATGGAATTATAGATGAAGTTCGATATTTATAACTCTGTGGAGAGGGGTTGGTGCAGGCTACTCAAGACATCGTGAGTCCCACTTGCGATCGTTCAGTTCCGTTAATCCTAGATTCTACATGAACGATGTTCATGATACTATGTTACCTTGTTTTTATTAAAGTAATCATAGAATTAAGGTAGTAGGAGCACTTATAAAGTTAATATCAAATGTGGAATGACTTTTTCTTTTGTGAGTTTGTAGTGTCTTGAATATTTCGAGTTTATGACAGATTTTCTACAACCATGATGTTTCTGGTTTCAGTCCCATACTCGAATGCAGCAGAAGAATCTGTTCTTTTGCAGCTTGTTACAGACGGCTTATCGACCTAAGCATCTGCCTGTAAGTCCTTTGAGTGGTAAAGAATTTTCTTAGAGCACTTGAAAATTTTACTCGGAACTTCTGATCCCACCGATTTTGAGTTCGAAATCTAATTCATAACAATATGAACATTCAAGCCACTGATTTCATGAGGAGATAAAAAGCATGAGGTACGTACTTACTGCATGAAGGCATAAATGTACCACACGAAACAAAATAACTAATATTACATAAGATATCAAAGGTCTCGAAAACAAACATAAACACAATTCATCCTAAAGCGGAGCACACAAGTGAAAAAAACATCAAATTAAACAACTAAACACAGTACCACCACGAAAGCACTAACATAAAGAATATCGTCTCTTTTCTTTCTTTTACACTTGTTGGTACTTACTCAGGTTGTTGGCTTGGTTCTCCCCTCGTTCGCCATCCTGAACAGCTGTGCCTGAGCTGCAGCTGCCTGGTTCGACCCGACCGCTGCCAAGAAGCTGTCCCTGACCTGGCTTGTCGTGTAGGGGAACCTCGCGTGGGCCATGGAGTTAAGCAGGGCAGCCGTGCCTTCCCTGTAGAGCTGCCCGAGACCGTCTGTTCGGGTGTTTGAAAGTGCCTGGATAATGTTGGTGTTGGCTCCGAAACCGGGTAGACTGCTTGATCCGAAAGCTGTTCCGATTGTGGTCCCCCAAAACCCGAACAGGCCCCATATCAGGGTCGGGTGGTTCAGCCAGTACCTGTCGTTTTTTTCAACAAAACAAATATTATTATCATCATTATTATTACTATTTTTTATTTTTTTTTTT